TGGTAGAGCAGTGGACCTTGCAAAAGCTGTAGGCCAGGATATGAAGACAAGGGGAAGGGAGGTTCTGAACATTTAATTTTTGGTGTGCAAATTATACCTCCTATGAAAAGCAAAGAGATTAATATTCCCGTAAATATTTTAAAATTATGGCATTGTTTTTATCCTGTTATTCTTTCAGATAGCCAATTTTGGCTTTGTAGCTATAACTTCTACAGCTGTATACTATTCACTCTATGTTTACATTGATACACTGTTATTTACTTGTGATTATTCAATACTAATCTCTTGGCTTATTCTCTGATTTTCCTGCATTTCAGTTTAAGTGTGTGTGTTTGTGTGTATATGTTTGCATTTGTGAATTTGTAGAGGAATGTTCTTCTCCATATTCACATTATTCCCACAGGAAGTACAGAAATGGTTAGTTAGTAGTAGTTATTAATTTCCTAGCCTATTTTTCTGCATTAGACAAAGAAAGTAAAAGACAAATTTCACTTTCACATTCTACCACTCAGTGAGGACTAATCAAAATTCTGAAATCTGCTAACTCCAAACATTGCTTCTGAGAGTGCTAAGTACACCAGAGTAGCACAGCCTTGCCTTGATGCTCAGTGGCAGGATGGCCTATTTCTTCAGTTGACATTTCTTTAAGATTTGTAACATCAGGACTTTCCAGTTGTCAGAAATGTAGCTTGTTTTTTTGTTTGTTTGATTTTTATAGACAGGGTTTCTCTGTGTAGCTTTGGAGGTAGCTTGTGTTTTTAATAATGATTTTTCTTAAAATGGAAGGAGACTTTATAATATCACTTAAATTCAACATATAAAACCCAAAGTCTAGAAGCTACACATGAGGGAAAGCATGTAGAATTTTTCATATTTGTTTTTTTTCTTAATATTACACACATCCATCCATAGACCTGGACATTTCATGGTTAATTATTATTTATGAATAGACAATATTCTATGGTTTATATGTTCTATTTTGTCTTCATCCACTGATGGACATATAGGATTTTTCCACTTTTCTTGGTGTTGTGAATAGGGCAACAATAGACAGAGATGCGTTAGTTTCTCTGTGGTAGGCTGTAGAGTCCTATGGAAGTAAGCTCAGGATTGGTATAGCTATATCATATGGTAATTTTAGTTTTGTAGATTTCTTTCGGAAGAAAGTCCAGAGTGATTTCCACAAGCATTAAACAAGCTCACACTCACAGCAGCAATGAATAATGATCCTTTTCCACCATATCTTAACCGGCAATTGTTATGTCATTGATGACATACTATGGTGAGATAAAATGGCAAAGTATTTTTGATTTGGATTTCCCTAATGGCTAAGGATGTTCACACTTTAACAGCAATGAAAGAGATACCTTGATAGAGTAGGCCATTATATGGTTAGAGAGAAACCTGGTGTGAGGGAAATTTCCAGTAATCCACAAGGATGATTCCAGCTAAAATTCCTAGAAATAGTGAAGAGGGTGCCTGAACTAGCCTTGCTCTATAATCAGATTGGTGACTACCCCAACTGCCCTCATAGAACCTATATCCAGGAACTGATGGAAGCAGATGCAGAGATCCACAGCCAAGCACTGGACCAAACCTGGGAGTCAAGTTGAAGACAGGCAGGAGGGATTAGATGAGAAGGGGGTCAAGGTCATGATGAGGAAACCTACAGAGATAGCTGACCAGAGCACATGGGAGCTCAGGGACTCTGGATGGACATCTAGGAAGCTGGCATGGTACCTACCTAGGTCCTCTGCATGTGAGTGACAGTTGTGCAGTTTGGTCTCTTTTGGGGGCCCTTAACAGTGGCACCAGGATCTGTTCCTCGTGCATGAACTGACTTTTTGGAGCTCATTCCCTATGAGGGGATGTCTTTCCCAGCCCTGATGCAGTGGGGAGAGACTTGTTCCTGCCTCAACTCCGTATATCAGACTTAGTTGACTCCCATGGGAGGCCTTACCCTTTCTGAGGAGTATATGGGAAAAGGAGTAGAAAGGAGGTCGGGGAGGAAATGGGAGAAGAGGAGAGAAGGTAAACTGTAGTTGGTATGTAAAATAAAAATCTACTTAAAATATTTATGTTACATTTGGTTTGCTTCTTTTAAGAACTCTCTGTTTACTAGACCTTTTGACAATTTGCAGTATTCTTTGATTATTTTTCTATGTTTAATTTCTGAAATTATTTCTTTATTCTGGATCTCAACCTATCATTGGTTTATTCACTTTTCTGTTAGTTTCCTTTTCTATGTTGAAACTTTTAAATTTCAAATTATGCCATGCGAATTTTTGAGATTATTTCTGTAGGTTTTGGAATTATTTTCAGAAGTTTTTTTCCTTATACACATGCTATAGTATGCTTTCCTACAGAAGGTTCAATATTTACAGTTTAGAGTTAGGATTTTTCATCCATTTTGAATATACATTAACCATTCTAATAATTTGCTAATGGGATTAACTTTAAGCATTTTGCATAATAGGTTCAATATTTACAGTTTAGAGTTAGGATTTTTCATCCATTTTGAATAGACATTAACCATTCTAATAATTTGCTAATGGGATTAACTTTAAGCTTTTTGCATAATTTTTCTTGTTTGACCATTTGAAGGTATGTTCTTCAGTGTCTAGAAGTTGTTCAGAGTATGTCCATTTATATATTCTTCAGAATCTGACATTTTCCTGTAAAAAAAAAGCAAATTTTCATATTATACCTTAATCTGTCAACCCCATTTGAAAGTTTTATTTATTTCTCAAAAATGAAAAACTAACAGATGTAGTGTTACATTCTTATAATCCCAGAAATTGGGAAGATGAGATGGGATAATTATAATTGTAAGGAAAAGCTGTGACCCATGGATACTTTCAGCCATTTAAAATATTCTTCTAAAATGTGTGTGTAAAATGAAGCATGTAGTACGCTTTGAATGACCTCATTGAATGACCACATTTGCTAATAGAAGTGATTCAAATGCTAATATAAAGAAATATATATGTATAAACATACTTTATATAAATGTCTTTACTGTATGCATAATAATTTGTATGGTTAATTTTGCATTAGAACTTGCTCACACATTCTCTTTTATTCCCTCTTTATATCTCATATATAATACTGTTACATGGGCTGGATAGATGGCTCAGCAGTTTAAAGCATTGGCTACTCTTCAGGAGGTCCCGAGTTCAATTCCCAGCAACCACATGATAGCACAAAATCATGCATAGTGGAATCTGATGTCCTCTTCTGGCATAAAGCTATACATGCAGATAGAGCCCTCATATACATAAAAATAATAAATAGCTCTTTAAAAAATAACACTGTTTGAATGTCTGGCTTTGTAACAAAAATATTCATATGCCTTCTTTGAGCACTGCATTATTCACCTTGCTAGCTTTATAGTGTCCTCACTAATATTTATCTGAAAAAGGCTTGATATTACAATACCAGCCTAGAAATTCAAGAGTTAGAATTAATTTACTTATTCATTTATTTTCTATCTAACTAAACATGTTCAACTCATCATAGTAGGGGTGGCTAAGCAAGCAGGAAAAGGCCTGTTATGTTTTTTCAATAGCTGTGAGACAAATTGTATGTCCAGTAATCTGAGCCTGTTATCTGTTGAGAAAGACACCAAGTTTAATATATATGTGTGTATATTATATAATATATATATATTATTCAGGAAATATTATTGTAAATGAGATATTGTTCTTCACCAATGGTTGGAAAAATTATGAGTGGATAAATTGAGGAATGAATACAAGAAAAATTATAGACACAATTTTACTAACCACATTCCTTTGCCCTTCTGAAAGATGTGATATGGTATTTGTAATAGTCATCAGAAAATAAATCATATTTTCACAAATGTATATAGTTTAATGAGAGAGCAACTTTGTTACATTTAATCACACAAAAATGCAATTCATTTCATGTTTAGTATTGTAGACATTGTTCTTATATAGTATTACTATAAATGATTTTTTTGTATGTGTTTTTCAGTTTCATGCTGAATAATAAATGTCTGTCATTTACTTTAAATTATGTGGGTGAAATTTGCAGTGGATAAGTTATAATGAACAGTATACTGAAATACAGCAACTATTGTGGGCATAAAGAAGTCATTTCCTGTCCTTCTGTTTACCCTTAGTGCTTACCCTTAGTGGGAAATTATGAAAATATTTAATAGGGAGCAAATAACTAGCATATTCATGTACTTATTTGCATAATTGTGTGATTATGTGGAAATCCAATCCTAGCTTTTTTTCAGACTTTGATTAGACCCACCTAATCTTATTAAATATTATCCAATTGTAGTCTTCTTGAATGTAGGACATCTTTATTGAGCTTATTTCATCTCCTTTTAATACCCTATGTCAGTTCCTTATACATGACACACACATATATACACATCTAGTTATTAAAATAAAGAATTGGGAAACATAATAGACTTTTTATTAAATACACAAATTTGGAAATCTATAGCAAAACTGATAAGTAACATTCTAGTTGCAAGTAGGTGACATTGTATTTCACAAGAAAGTTTTATACTACAGAAACCACAAAGAATCTGTCACCATCTTCCAGGAATTGAAGGAAACTAGGACTTTGATGACCTAAGAGTCTATATAGGAAAACAAAACCAACATTAATAACACGAGAGATGTCTGGAACTGGTCCTTTTTATATTAAGTTTCTACAGTTATTTGGAAATCACTAAATGTCTAGGGCAACAAGCTGAGACTCAGAAATGAGGTTACTCATTACTTTAACACATATAAGAAATTTTTCCGTTTTGCCTGTCTCTTTCATTCTTTCTTGCAGTACTCACAGAAAAAGTTATAAATCTTAGTTTGCCCATTCTGAAACTTTGTTTCCAATATTTTATTATTCATTCAATTACTTTTCAGCTATCATGGTATGTATCAATTATGAAGATTATATGTTCTGTAATTGAGTATGTGTAATAAAAAATAAAAGGTAGGCAATAGAAGGACATCCAAAGGTACAGTCATTATCTTCTTTTATTTATTAGAGCATCAGCAGTCATTAACTAGAATGCATGTAATAGACATGGGATTTTCATATATGTAGTATTGCAAATTATAGTAATTGTTATTTTTGATTTAAAGTTTTGGTGGTATTATAAAGCTAATATTCCTTGTTCCTATCCTTTAAAATGATCTAAGAGCAATAAGAATATTGAAAATGAAAATATTTAAGACCAACAGACAAATGAGAACTCCTTCAACTAAAATACATCTGTAGAGGAAAGGAAACTATCATTCATGTAAAGAAGCCTACTATAGACGAAAAAAAAAAGTTTAACAGCTTTACATCTGATAGTTGCCTGGTGGATAGAATATATAAATAACTCAAAATATGAAAACAGAAAACTTAGTTAAACATTGTGTCACAGAACCAGAGTTTTCAAAAGAAAAAATACAAGTGGTTGTGAATTAGGTTTTAAAATGTTCAGTGTCCTTAGTCTGCGGGAAAATGCAAAATAAAACACTTTGAGATTTCATCTTCCCCCAGTCAGAAAATCATTTTTGTTGTGGTGGTAGTTTCTAAGAGGATGATGAGACAACGAAATACTGAGCCATAAAAAAGGGATGTCGTCCCAATTTCAGTGGAGTTGAAGCTTAGGTGAAAATGAGAAGTACTTCATCAGAAAGAACTAAAGCTAAGAAGTCATGCTAAAAACAGAGAAGGCAAGCTACCATAGAAGGATTTAAGGAATCATTGCTAAATATTTGTTTAATAATTGTTACAGTTTTACAGATAGCAAAACATTGTAAATAACCTCGATGTGTATCAGTAGCTGTCTGATTAAATACTGATGTGATTATTTCTTAAATTGAAAAGCTTAAGGCAAATAGAGAGGGATATTCATAAGCATATATGGCATTACATGCACAGTTCAGTGTTAAATGAAAACAAGCGAATATTAGAAGAGTGAGTAATTACTATGTTTTTGTAAAAATATAAAAATGTGTGTCTTCATATCCAAAAAATATCTCTGAAGGGATATTCAAGAAGAAAATTACTACTATTAGTATGAATTATAGAACTAAAATTATTATAACTATCCAAACTTGGAAGTTGAAATAGAAGATGATTAGTAACTTAAATTATAGATCTTATCCTTCATTTTTCGTTAATTCATTCTTTAAGAACTAAGTTACCCAGATATCTTATATAGGAGTTTGTGACTATCAGAAATAATCATACACAAAGAGTCGAAAGCATAAAGGATTAAAAGTAATAATATATGTGTGTTCATAATTGTCATTACAGAAATATATATATATATATATATATATATATATATATGAATACAACATTCTCAGTCTGTATATGTTACTTATATATGGATTTTCATGATTTACCATTTGTTATTGGAAAACCAATTGGTGTGATCTTCTTTAGAGAAGACTGTTTCTCTCACTTTCAGCACCACTTAGTTGCTTGTACTTCTTTGTATAGGGTTGGGCCTCATGGGCTTTTTCCCATGTATTTTTTTAAGTCTCTTGTCCTTGCTGAGCTTGTGTTTGGGCAGTCATGTTAATAAGTTTTTTATGGGTGTGGCTTCTGACATTCCAGAAAACACAGTCGCACAGAAAATTCCTTGATCCTCTGGCTCTTACACTTTTTCTGTTTCCCCCTTTTGCAATGTTTCCTGAAACTTAAATGAAGGAGTTACAGTATAGGTATGTCCAATGGGACTTGATCACACAATACTTTATTTTTATTGGATATGATTTGCCATACTGGTCTCCATCTGTTGAAAGAGACATCTCCTTGATAAGAGACTTCTTTATCTGTGGAAATAAGGACAGGAGTATAGTTACTATATTTTACTGAAGTGGTGGTTGTAGATTTTCCTCCAAGATACACATGCCTATACTATCTTTGATTAGTTTGCTAGGTTTACAATAGAAAGCACCTCGTGGGGAGGTGGTAACCAAGGGAAATAGCAATAGGCTGTATGTTTTTGGACTCTCATACTACCCTGACTAACAACTCAAAAGAGAGCTTCTCATGCCTGGTGTTAGGGTTCTTACTAGGTGGTCTTTGGCTCTTGGAAGGAACACTGTTAATCTAGATGAAAAAAATCATTTTAACTATCTTTGCATATTTACACATATACTTATGGATAGTATAGTTTTTTGAAAGGAGATAGGTAATAGCATGATTCCTTATGTCTTTTTCAGATATGCTTTCTATTATTTTTGCCATCCTTCTTATGTGTTGTTCTTTCCTATACCCTAATTAGAGCAACCTTTATCCCATCATATCACTTACAAATTTTTCTACCCTATATATTGTTTATCTACCCCTACACAGACAACAGTCCCTTTTTATTTTCCTGTTTTATAAAGTTGCTGCAGAATATATATTTACTTCTGAAGATACCGATCTAGGAACTACCAGTTAGAGAAAACTTGAGGCATTTGTCTTTCTGGGTCTGTGTTATGTAACTCTATATATTTTGTTGTTGTTGTTGAATGAGTTTTTATTGAACACAAGCTGCTTCTTTCAAGTGTTGATATGATACTTGGAGGAATGAGAATGCTCTCTTTGTTTTAACATTTTATTTCTACGTTTAATTGGAGAGGATGGGTATGTTCACTTGAGTACAGTATCCAGAAGAAGGCATTAGATACTCCAAAATTTGAGTTAGAGTTGATTATAAATTTCATGATGTGATACTAGTAAACAAACTCGAGGATCCAACAAGAACAGTATGCAGTGGACTGTAAAGGTGTCTCAGTGGTTAAGAACACTGGCTGCTGTTCCAGAGGATATGGATTAGATTCCCAGCACCACACAGTGGCTTACAATTCCAGTTCCAGTTCTAGGGACCCCAAGCCTCTTCTGCCATTCACAGGCACCAGGCAAGCAAGTGGCACAGACACATACTAAGGCAAATCATCCATACCAATTTTATAAAAAGAAAATAAGAATAAGAAAAGAGAAAAATGAGATATGCACATTTAACTGCTGAGCTGTCTCTCCAGATCATATTCTCATTTTTGATTGGGATCATAATTCAATCTAGAGGCAGTTGTAAAGTGGGAAATTACCAATATGAAGCCAAGTAGAAATATAAGGGTATTTAATAGGGAAAAGCCTTACTTACAGAGCGACCTAGCCAGCTGGCGTGGCATCAGTCTGTATGCAAGCCAAAAGGGGTGAAAACTGAAAGCGAAACTCAGCCAACTCAAACTCTTACACTACTTCACCCTGACCACACCCTGACAGGCAGACCTGTAGCCAGCCCCTAAGTAGGCGTGGCTACAGGTACCCCTACATGGTTGTGTATAGATATATATAGATATATGCAATTATTTCTACATTCCTTTAAAAAGACCCACATACAGCCAGTGTTCATGAAGTTGTTTTCCATGAGAATTCCAGTGTGAGCTAGGTAAGAGCTCCTGGTGTGGAAAATTATGAGAACCTGAGTTCTGATTCCCAGCACCTCCCACACACATGCCACATGTTTCTCTTTCTGGTGTGTAATGTTGAGGAAAAGTATCTTGCAGGAAACACTTCAGTGTTTGGGGCCCACTGTTGTATTTGATTGCTCTGAGCGTGAAGAAGGTGGTCCTGCCCTGGCTCCTGCTTCTGGAGCTTGCTTTGGTAATCTCTTCATAATAAACATTTTTTTAATTATGTGACTTTAAAGGTGTGGTGGGGCTTACTTTGTCCTCCTCTGCCCTGGTTTACTTAATTTTATCCCCTTTCTCCCTTTCTTTTCCTGCCTTTTTGTAATTTAGGCTTTTGGCGGATTTTCTCCTTCTACTTTTTTATTGTTTCTGTGATGATGTAGTCAGAAGAGGCATGTGTGATCTTCCCAATTCACTTAACAGCAATTCATGTTTTGTGACCTCTTCCCCTATTGGAATGCTGCCTCTGGTGCTTTTAGTTTGATAAGTTTAAAATTTGGCATTTACTGGTTTCAGTAGTCAACTCTCTGTAAATGACTCCCTGGTCTTATACTTCCTGCTGTTCACTGTTGCTTACTGAAGGTGTCAGCACATTCTTTCTTCTTCCTCCATCTCATCCCTTACAAGGCTTATAATAAGGCTCATTTATTGCACACTTCATGTCTTTACAATAAACGTTCAGTTTACATTTGTCTGCAAATGATGACCCTGCCTTTCTTTTGAGAAGGTAGTTTGATAGAGATGGAGCTCCTGGCATGTGGAGCCCAGTAGACAGTCAGCTACTGACCTGTCCTCTCTGGTTGCTGTTAGGGTCCTACTCTGGTGTCTTGTGAACATCTTTCTTATTATCCTCGGGCTCTGTTGGGCACCCTGAATCGAGGATTAGTATTTTCATACATTCTGCAATGTCATATGTGTTGTCTCTTCAGGTGTTACTTTCATTCCTCAAGCTCTCTATCCTCCCCTGCCACTTTGCTTTTGTTGTATCCCAGATGATGCTGGGGCCTTTCTTCTCAGAACAGAATGTTTTCATTCTCTTCATTTCTATGTGAACTGTCTCTCTTGAGTGCTCAGTACTCACTGTTAATTATCATCATACTCATTTCTAGTTCTCTTTGCTTTTCTAATCTACCTGCTTAATCTGTTAATTCTTTTAGCTATCTAGAGTCACAAGTAACTGATGGACTTCGGTTCAGAAGAGTCTGAAGCTTCCTTGTACCAGAGAAACCCAATGTGCTGTTAGTCTTGCGTGTAAAACATTGAGTAATGTGTTGACTTGAGATTTTGATAAGGTTTGTAACCAGAGTTTATGATTTTAAAAACTCTTGTGTTTTTTTTTAAATTGGATATCATAAATGGGGGAAAGAGCCTTATAGACTCCAGCTGATCAGTGAGCTTTTTATTTTGTTGTGTTCTTTTTTAAAAATTAATTTTTATTTAAATTAAAAACAATCCTATTTTATACACCAATCCCAGTTCCCTCTCCCTCCTGTTCTCCCATTCCTTCCAGCAACCCCCATCCCACCCCCCATATACTCCCCAGGAAGACTGAGGCCTCCCACGGGGGATCATCAAAGTCTGTCAACTCCTTTGGTGCAGGAACTATCCCCCCCCCCCCCTCCCCCTCTACCGTGTATCTAGGCTGAAAGAGAATCTCTTCATAGGGAATGGGCTCCCAAAGCCCATTCATGCAGTAGAGATAAATACTGGTTCTTTAGTAGTACTATCCACTTACCTGCAAAATTCATTATTTAATTTTTCTCTAAAGGTGAATAATATTCTATGTTGTAAATGTAACATATTTCATCATCCATTTGTTTGTTGAAGGCCATTTAAATTAATTATCTGGTTTCAGTTATTTATGATTGCTTCAAAAGAACTTCCAACACATATAATAGACTGACTTAACTTCAAATAAATATTTAAAAATAATATATTTCTATCTTTCTGGAAATCTTAAATAAAATAAAAAGATTGGGGGAATATGTAAAAAAGGGGTAGCTCAAACTCATCCTAGATTTCCTTGTGCTGGTGTTCTATGTCAAATACATTTTTAAATTAAGCAAAGAAATTATAAGAATTACTTCCAGGAAATTTTCATAATCACTCTCTATATACTCAAAAATAATATAATATTATGATAATAATGTGACAAAGGGGAAAACAATAACTAATTTATAAAGTTTATAACAGTAGAGTTGGCTTTGATGGTGAGTGTGAGTGACCTGAATATGAGGACCTGAGAGCAGGAGAAGTGGTATGGCTCTTTGCCACTAGCTGCACTGGGAAAGCTATAAGAGGCAGTATTGCAGAACTCACCTTGGTAGTGCTGATAAGGAAAGTCTATTGGTCTGACCAATCCAGTTACCACTCAACCCAAAACCAGGGCTATGAATTGGTCCACCTCAACATCCTGCTCATCTATGAAATGTTGGAGCCTGTGACAGGGACAAACCTACAGATCCAAAACAGAAGGATCTCCACAACACAAGACAACAACAGGTCATTCAGAAGAAGCCCCAGTGAGATCGTATTATTGGTGGTATAGCAGATGGCCAAGACCTCAAGCTAGACCAATGACTCTCAACAATGAATACATGTAATTAAAGATGAATGGATCAGAGGGTAAACTGTAACTCAACAGGCTACACTACAGCTTTTTTTGTTGTTGCTAAGAGAGGTTTTCTTTTATTTCTTTCTCCCCATATTTCATTTAAATTATAAACAAGATTATTTTACATGTCAATCCCAGTACCCTATGCCTCTCCTTCTCCCCTGTCCCCCAAACTAACACCCTACCTATCCCATACCCTTTCTGATCCCCAGGCAGGGTAAAGCCTTCCATAGGGGGTCTTCAGAGTCTGTCATATCTTTTGGGATAGGACCTAGGCCCACTCCATGTGTCTAGGCTCAGGGAGTATCCCTCTATGGGGAATGGGCTCCCAAAGACTTCCTAGTCTAGGAATAAGTACTGATCTACTACAAAAGACCCCATATATTTCCAAGGTCTCCTCACTGTCACCCATGTTCATGGGGTCTGGATCAGTCCCATGCTGGTTTCCCAGCTATCAGTCTAGGAACCAAGAGTTCCCCCTTGTTCAGATCAGCTGTTTCTGTGGTTTTCACCAGCCTGGTCTTGACCCCTTTGCTTATAACTCCTACTTCTCTGCAACTGGATTCCAGTTCAGTTCAGAGATTAGCTATGCGTGTCTTCTTCCACTTCCACCAGCTGCTGGGTGAAGGCTATAGAATGGCATATAAGTCAGTCATCACTCTCATTATCAGAGGAGTGCATTAAAGGTAACCTCTCCTCTGTTGCTTAGATTGTCAGTTGGTCTCATCGTTGTAGATCTACAGACATTTCCCTAGCGCCTGTTTTCTTTTTAAACCTATAGTGGCTCCCCGTATTATGGTATCTCTTAACTTGCTCTCCTCTATTCTCCCCCCAAGACTGAAGATCAATCCATGCCTATGGGTATGCAAAAAAACTTAAGTCCAAATGGATCAAAGACCTCTACATAAATCCAGCCTCACTGAGGAGAAGGTGGGAAATACCCTTGGATTAATTGGTACAGGAGACAGATTCCTGAACATTACATCAGTAGCACAGACACTGAGATAGACAATTAATAAATGGGACCTTCTGAAACTGAGAAGCTTCTGTAAGGCAAAGGACACAGTCCGCAAGACAAAACAGCAGCCTACAGAATGGGAAAAGATATTCACCAATCCTGTGGTGAGCCACAGCCCCAAGATGGTGCCTGGCTGGATGCCAGGGAGACCGAGCTTAGCTGTAAACAAGCCTTATTTGGAAGTACTTATTGGATCTGGTGTGCCTCCTCCTCCTGAACATAACGCCAGGAGCACAGACACTGAGAGCAACAATTAATAAACGGGATCTCCTGAAACTTAGAAGCTTCTGTAAGCAAAGGACACAGTCAGCAAATGAGCTTGCTTTTAAGGGCTTGCTGGGGGGCTAGGGGAAGTAGAAGCTGATGTACAAGGTTCCTCAATAAAATGCTTGAAGAAGAGTCGTGGTCCTGTTTCTCTTGCTGGTCGAGATAGACGCGACACAATCCCACATCCAACAGAGGGCTGATCTCCAAAATTTCCAAAGAAATCAAGAAACTAGTCTCTAAAACAACAAATAATCCAGTTAAAAAGAGGGTACAGAATTAAATAGACAATTCTCAACTGAGGAATCTAAAATGGCTGAAAGACACATAAGAAAGTGTTCAACATCCTTAGCCATCAGGGAAATGCAAATCAAAACAACTCTGAGACACCATCTTACTCCTGTCAGAATGGCTAAAATCAAAAACACCAATGACAGTTTGTGCTGGAGAGGATGTGGAGAAAGGGGAACACTCCTCCACTGCTGGTGGGAGTGCCAACTGGTACAGCCACTTTAGAAATCAGTAAAGAGATTCCTCAGGAAAATGGGAATCAGTTTACACTACAGCTTTAATGATGTGAATTTTTTCTCATCTTTGATTTTTTTCTTGTTTTCTGCTTTTGTTTTGCTTTATTTAGTTTGTTTTTAGGGTTTTCTTTAACTCTGGTATTGTTTTGGGGTAGGTTGCATGGGCAGAGGGCAGATTACATTGAATGAGGAGATGAGTGTAATCAGAATGCATGATGTGAAATCCACAAGGAATCAATAAAATTTTAATTATTTAAATATATATGGAATTATTAAAATTTTTATTGTTTTATAATTCCAGATCATTCTTCATATTAGTTCAAAAGAAATACTGAAGAACTTTCATATGTATTTGATCATATTAAATTAAAATGGAGATTGTTTGGAATGAAGAAAAAACTGTCCAGTAGAACTGGATGAGAAAGCAGAAGATGAGGGATAATATTAGCAAAGTACATTATATGAATGTTTGGGAACATTTCACAACAAAATATACTTTAGCACAATTAATAACTAATATACAAGCTTTTAAAATTATATAATTTGAGTGTAGTGGCACTCATCCATAATCCCAGCAATAGGGATGTTGACACAGGAGAACATAATTGGCAATCCAAGCTAGCCTTAGAACAGCCTAAGGTATATATTGTAAAGCTATCTGAACATTTGTTTCTTTCTATAAAAGCATCATTGAATTTCTAATGCAGATAACACAGAATCTGTGAACAAACATGAGTGCAATAATCAGTTGTTAGAGTAGTGCTTGGAATACTGGCTAGATGCTAAATAAATAACTTCCCTTGTTATCACTAAACTGTCACCTAGACCTCAGTTTCTTAAACTGTGGATCAGGATACCATGGTGGGGTCATCTAACTGAATGCAGCTGTGTCAAACTGTTGGTCAGTAAATATTAAACCATCATCAGATGCATAGTATATCTGTTTTTCTTTTTTCTATCAGTGCTTGACTGTGCTGTACCAAACAACTTCACCTTAGCCTTGGTACTGAACATACATGTATGTACTTTGTAAAGAACACACTGCCATACTCTACCAAGAAATACTTTCTGAAACATCTCAGTTCAGATTTGAGACTTTTGTATATTATGTATTGCAATGTTCAAGATGCACATACAACGTTTCTGCTCATCTAGATATGTAATGCTTTAATTGTATGAAATTAAGATTTTCGAGCCAAGCGTTGGTGGTGCATGCCTTTAATCCCAGCATTCGGGAGGCAGAGGCAGGTGGATCTCTGTAAATTCGAGGCCAGCCCGGTCTCCAGAGCAAGTGCCAGCATAGGCTACAAAGCTACACAGAGAAACCCTGTCCAAAACCAAAAAACCAAAAAAAAAAAAAAGATTTTCACCATTTTCCCATTCCTATTCTTCAATATTTATGCATGAAAATAGTATGTTTTTGTATTGTGTTGTATAACAATGTTTGATATTAAAAGTTGCTGTTTGAGTTGCTGGCTAAAATTTCATAAAAATCATTAAATGAATGATGATTGGTGTTATATTAGTTTTCATAGATTTTTGAAGTGGCCCCAAATCTACTTTTGACCTATTATACTGCATATTTTTGTGAAGTTGAATTCTCAGTTTTGATGATTAAATTATATATTAATTACTCTGAAAATGTTGACTATGTTCTGTGTTCATCATTATTAAATATTCAGTCAAGATTTAATTCCTCATGTAAAAGTATTCTTCATCTCATTGCATTTAATAAATGGTAATATTGTATGAATACCAAATAATTCTTTTAAACTAAGTTATTGTATGATATATAATTAGTTAATGTTTGATTGGTATACCTATTTCATATACACATATACTCATGTAAATATGTAGCAAGTGAAATCATTTAATGTCAAATTTCTCTGTTATGGTTTAACTCTGATTTTTATTTCAAATCTGAACTTACAATCACATAATTAATAATTTCTTTAATCCTTAGTAAAAGACACTGAACATTCTCCATCTTTGCATGCATTCTAAATAAGTTACTAGCATGCCAGGTGTAACATCAATGACATCATAAATATTAAATGAAATGAAGACTTCACTGCTTCTAATTTTGCGATTTTGTCCAGTTGCAACAGTTTCTTCTTAAACTGTTCTCCCTGATACTGCTTTTCTTCTCTGCTTCTATGTCTACTTTTATTAGAAGTTCATATTCACTCAGACATCAATTTTATTCCACTTTAGACACTGAAGTTTTAGACACTTTTCAAACTGTGTCCTGCATAAAGAACTCTGAGAAAATGTATAGTGACAACTAAAATTCAGCTTTTGCATTATTTGGTCAAAATATGTATGTATAAATGAGAGACATTTTTATATGCCCTGTCTTATCCTGTTGAAATATTGTCTATCATTATGCCATAATTACTGTAACTTCAAATTTTTTAAAGTTATATAGTAAAATTCCTTCCATGTGTATATTTGTTAAATTGTCTTACTTTTTGAGTACCCCACAAACTCTTAGTTTAAAGTATTAATACATACAAGAAACATCCTGCCACTTTTTATTTCAGACCTATGTTCAAATTGGCAACCTGACAATACAATTCAATTTTTCAGTACACAATCATAATATCTCTCTACAATTGTTCATCTCCATTGATTTTCACTCAGTGTTTTATTGTTTCTGTGGCTGAGATACTGAATATATTTCATTAGATAGTTTATCAGTACTTCAGTATGTCTGTACTAAAAAGTGATCATTTTATCACTAGCATATAAAAGTACAAATGACAATTGCATATTAATGTTTTTGACATTAATAAAACACTCACAAAGGATTAAGCAATTCCTTACAATATTCTATAGAATTATTTTATATATAAAAAAGACAATTACTTTTATATTATTTATATCTTTAATCCTCCTTTTTTGTGGTAGCTTCAGTATAAATCAAACAGAAAGCAAACTTCATTTTTGCCTATATTGGAGGAAAACAAAAATCTATATTAAGTATAAGGTTAACCATAACATTTGGTACATATTGCGTTCATCTCATGACTATGAACTACAGATTTCACACAGCATACTTGGTGGCCATCATCTCCAATGGGCAAAGCAAATAAAACTGATTTCCAGTCATTTTATATTATGCTATATATGTCAACTTCACAGACCATCCAAGAATTTAGGCAGGAGTTCCAAGTTTGTTTAAGGTGTCCTTGTGATATTCTATCATTGATTTTATCCATTGCTTTCTACCTATTTGAGAACCCTCAAACTCTGTCTTTTTGACTCTTAAATTCAGTAAAATAAAAATTACACTTTATTTC